CAGTATCGAAAGTCATGAGAAATGTTGCCATTTCAACTGATGTCAGTTAATGCAAGGGAAGCGAGTTAAAGGTGATAATATGAACAGACTTTATAAGGGTGAAGCTAAAGATTATTATTATATATGTTATGGATATTTAAAATATTTATTTATTAACTTAATTTAAGTATAATATTTAAATTTATTTGCTAAATAGCTTATATACTTTAATTTTTAAACAAAACACATCAATGCTCTTTTATTTTTAATTTCTCAATCACACTCAATACAATACCTGTTCCATAAACTATACATATCTATTAAATAATTATTAAAGAATTACTGACAAAATAGAGCATTAATTTGTGTTAAAAGTACAATATCTTTATAGAAAATAGACTTATTGATAACTAAATAATTTAAGATCTTTTCTGGTCTGAAATGCTGGGAACTGTTAATTTGAAAATGTAAATGGAAAACCATTTTCACATCACTCCTCTCAGTTCGATTACATTTGTAACAAAGACAAATACAGAATTTAATAGCGCGTTTCGATTGTTGAACAAATGCAAATTGAATATTTTTGTGTGTGTTTTTGCAAACGAACACATGCCACATCATGTTGAAGCCTCGCCTCACCTGCCCCAGCCTCCTCCTCGGGCTTATGTTATGACATAATTAAAGCCCGACACATGTTTGGCTTGCTTTTCTGCGGTGTGCTCACCTGTCCGAATGTCCACCTGTCTTACTGTCCGCTTGTCCGCTTGTCCGTTTGTCCGTTTGTCCGCTTGTCCGCTCTGTCACTGACACGTCACGACACCTGGCGGGGTGCTGATGAGACTGATGTACGGTAATGTTGAGTATGCACATTTTAAATGCAATTTAATGGACGCAACAATTTACCACATAAAGTAGATATATGTGTATGTAGTGTAATATATGAAAAATCATTTAGGAAAAAGGGGGTTAAAAGCTGAAACAAATGAAACGATTTTCGGTTGCAATTTATCTTTAAAATTGATGCCAAAAGTGTTGGGAGTTTCCTTCCTGACACTAACTATGAATAATATTGGAATTTATGAGTTGGCAAAAATATACGCTACAAAAGTAGTAAATAAATTATGAAAATTCATATAAACAATATATATATAATAAAATATATAAAATATTTATATATAAAGCATTATTTTTGAATTATTTAATAATGTTTTGCCTCTAAAGGTTATATTAACCCTTTCAAAAGTTATTTTAAACTGCTGTTTGAATATATTTCTTAATAAAATTATAACATTTTGAAAACAGGAAAACATTTTGAATACAAAAAATATTCAATCTTTAAGTAAATGCTAATATAACATATTTTATAGGAATTTTTCTTAAACTTTACACCCTTAGAGTATGAAAGACTCCCCTACAAAATGTTACTTTCTTTCTATTTTCTTTTATTTTATTGCATATATATTTATTTTTTCATTCACACGCCCGCTTGCATATCCTGGCCATCCTTTGGATGCCTCTGCATAGCTACATTTTAATATTTTCCCCCGATGAGGACACAGGATAAAGTTATGGAGAGGAACTGGCAAGGCAACGGCCATATTTCACAATTTATTGTGCTTGTCAATTGCAGGCAACGCAAGGCAAAAAAAAATATATGTATATATCTACCATATGCATACTCGCAGTACTTCTTCAATGGATGCTAAAGGGAAAATTCACAAATTTATTCTACTGGAAATATTGCATTTTTATATCCATCAAACAACTTGATGTCTGCAAATCATGGTAGTAGTAGCTGCAAGTGGCTAGCTTTAGCTTTTGTGAGCATTTGCATTTTGGCCTTGACAATGCTTTTGCTCACACGAAGGTCGCATCAGTTAGCCATGACAGACTACGTTAGCAAAATGTTAAAGAAAATATTGAAAGTAAAAAAAATGTGATTTAGTATGATGTAAATTCAATTAAGTAAGGTATATTTAAAGCACAAATGCATATGTAAAATTTTAAAGCATAATGCATTGATAAGTAGTCAAAGGTTTCATTTATTTACTCATTCAAAGGCATATTTTCTGTATCTCTACTAGTTTTCCTCAATGTATTTTTTGCTTATTGAACTCAGAAAACCCCTAATTGAGCCAATTACCTATGGTCATACGTAACATATATTATAAATTACTCATAAGTGGCTCAAGTTCAATGGTCCTTGGTCAGTATTTGATTGTCACACAATCAAAAATCATTACATTTTTATTTTTAAATATAATTTCTTGCATTATAAATGAAATAAAATCAAAGGCTTCCGTTTGTATAAGTTTATATAATGCAAGTATAAATTTCAAAGCTTGTAAAACCATATAGATATGTGCAAATTTGGCATTCAACTTTGCCCTGACCCCTGGCAAAAGGGGAAAGCAAATATGTATATAGTAACAAGCTAAGGTAAGAAAACAACTTTTGAGGGGCAGATTGAGTTGGCTTGTAAGTGGCTCTTTGACTTGGCCATTAACACAAACTTGACACATTGATGACGACGCTTTTATTGGTGTTATTGCCATCGTTATTGTTTGTGCCATAGCCCGGTGTCTGTCGCCCACAACCAAGGGTTATGTTTCATGGCGTAACTTTAGATTTATGATAAGTCACGATTCCAGCTGGCGGGCGGGAAAAATTGTCGTGAGCCTAGGAAAACATAACGAGAAAAAGAAAACCAAGTTTTTTATGCAATCGAAATGCATTTTTTGGCAAACAATCGTCGCTCATCAGGCAGCCAATTAAGTTGTTTAATTGAATTTCGAGTGGAAAGTGCCGAGCAAGCACAAAACGAGCTAAAGAAGACGCCGCAAAAGCATTTAGCAAAACGAGCAGAAGGAAAATTGAGGATTTTATTTCACTTTTTTTTCCATTCATTTTCCACGTACAGATAGTAACACTTTTTCTGCTATTTTTCTGTTTTCCCATGTCTTCAATATTGTTTTTTTTTATTGTGTTGATTGAATGTGAAGTGAAACTGTAGTTAAAATGAACTGGCGAGTAGTAAAAAATATCCCAAAATAGTTTAAGGAAAATACTATATATTAAGGTTAGATTTAAGTCATTTTAAGCTTTATATGATACTTTTAAAACAATAAATTTGACAATAAAAGTATATATATATTCAGAGGAAAAAGCTCATTGTTTTTTATTACACAAAATATGTATTGTTGAGCTTCTTTCACAAAGGAAAAACTGTTTATTATTTTCATCTAAAATATAAAGTTCTTATTTCGTTTCATATATATATTTTTACGTAGGTTTGCTGCTTGCATTTTTAGGAAAATGTATTCCAATTTGTGCTGTTTTGTAGGTCCTTTTTGCTCCTCGTCTGAAGGATACCTCTCTGCCTCACTGCTGGCATTTCACATAATTTCAATGAACCGCATTTACGTTTGGTTCGGTCTATCTATCCTTCCTCTGAGCATCCGTCGGCGTCGACATTGCCGTGACAATGCAGCACTCATATAGACATACATTGCAGGACTCGAAAGGATAACACTTGGAAAAATGTCTATCAAAAATGTATTTTATATAAAATAGAATATACAAAAATTTAATTTGTATAATGCTGAATGTATATTTTAAAAGAAAGTAGAAACTAGGTGTTCATGTTTTATTATTTAGAATGTATAAATCACTTAGGAACGTTTTTTTGAAGTGTGTCATAATTTCACTCATCAATGGAAACTTTTTGGAAAGCATCTCAAAGGATTTGGAAACTTTGGAAATGAATAAAAAGTATCTCAGGGAAGATACTTTTGTAAACTGCCCCGGAAGAGATAATAGATAATAAATACTTCAAAATGTGTTGAACATTTCAAAAGTGACATATGACATTAAACATAGGAGTTAATTTATTCCTTAATTTTAATTAATGAAACTGCTCTGCAATATAAATAAGTATCTTACAGAACCGCCTAAAAGGAGGCAATACTATTACTGCTTATTTATTTTAATATTAGCTAATCCATATTACTTATAGTAGCTGCTAATCTATAAGCTCTGATTTTACTTGGGATACTTGGATACTATTTTAATCCAAGTACCCTTTTTAAAGTAAATTTTTATATTAGATAATTTACAAAGTTAATCAATTCTTTTTTCTTTGTGTACTCACGGACTATCTACAGGAATGAGACCCTCTTGTGGAGAGCGGCAGTCATCGAAGCTCGCAATTTGTGGCTTTCGGCACAGTTAATGCCAATTTCGCAAAGGCTCCCCATCTTGCACCCACCACCACCCCAAAATGCCTCCTGTAACCACCAGCACCACCAGTTACCAGTCACCAGTCACCAGTCACCAGTCACCATCTGCACCACCCAAAACCACCCACAATTTCCATTCCCAACCATTCTTCTGATGCACCGCTCGCTATCTCGCCGCATTACAATTCACTGACATAATGCAAAAATCGCAGCAAGTCAGGCGCAACTCGTTGATACGCGTGTTCTGCAATTTCCAACTCACCATTTTCCCAGTCTGATTGGAAATAGGGGAGGGAATGACAGGGAGCCTTTCCACCTCCATTGTCCTGGGATTGTAAAGATCGAGGGTATTTTTTGGGGAAAGGCCTTTAGTAATGTCACTAATGGAGAGTAAGCTAATTAAAATGTGTTACAAGAGTAACAAAGACCTTGAACTAGGCAGAGTTATGCAGCTTAAATCTTACATAAAGCTCTTTAAATTATAGTTGGAATTTATGAGCCATAAAAATAAAGTAAGCAAACTATCTGAACATAAGAAACAGGTTTTTTTAACATCTTCTCATTTATTTATTAACTCATTTTAGCTGTGTCTAAGCTACCCCTCTGAGTACCTTTTAATTATATTAACTTTATGGCCATTGAAAGGCATAAAACAATTAAACCTATCGTTGAGTACAATATGTACCCCTTGGGCAGGTACGATAATCACCAAGAATAATCCAAATGGACAAGTAAAGTATATAAATCTTGGATTTACGCTGCTTATTTGCGGGTATCAAGGAAACACTAATAAATAGCCTCACTCTACATCTAATCAATAGATTAGATTAAAGCAAAAAAGGTTCTTCAAAAAATATTCTGCAAAATACTCAGTCGTACGACCATAGTGGACAGCAATAGTTGAAATGCTAAGAGGAATATTAATTATACTGGCCCTTGTGGCCATATCAGGAGCTGACTTTAATCCTTTCATTGATATACCCTTCAAGGCTATTAAGACTTCGGTGAATACAATATAATATATTGATATATGTTCTTTAACTATTACTAGTTCTTGAACTAATTTAAGTTTGATATTCATTGCAGGCTGAGCGGATTGAGGAGCAGGGCTATCCAGCTGAATCGCACTTCGTGGAGACTCCGGATGGCTATGTCCTGAATATGTTCCGCATTCCGCATTCACCGAGTCTGAATAATGCCGCCCAGCAGCGTCCTGTGGTGCTCATCATGCACGGCCTGTTCAGTTGCTCCGATTGCTTCCTGCTCAATGGTCCGGAGGATGGACTGGCTTATAACTATGTGGACGCTGGCTATGATGTCTGGCTGGGTAATGCTCGTGGCAATCTGTACTCGAGGAACAACACCAAGTTGGATTTGAAGCATCCTTATTTCTGGAAATTTAGCTGGCATGAGATCGGTTCCATTGATCTTCCAACGATGATTGACTATATCCTGGAGGAGACTGGAGAGAAGGCTTTGCATTATGTGGGGCACTCGCAGGGTTGCACTTCTTTCGTTGTCATGGGTTCCTATCGTCCCGAGTATAATGCCAAGATTAAGACAGCTCATTTGCTGGCACCACCTGTATTTATGGGTAATACCACCGAGGGTTTGATTGTGGCCACTGCCCCGGTTTTTGGTAAACCTGGAATAGGTTCTGCTCTGCTGGAGAATCAGGTTTTCTTGCCACAAAATCATTTCATTCAAAGACTGTTGGATACCACCTGCAGTAATCAGCCTTTATTGCTAAGTTACTGCAAGACTTTGGCTTTGCTTTGGGGAGGTCCTGAAATAGGAAATTTGAATAAGGTGAGTTATAACTTTTATATATATTATCTTATCTCATTTTTATAATAACTTACTCGTAGACCCTGCTACCTCAAATCGCTGAGACTCATCCCGCTGGCATTTCCTCCAATCAGGCAATTCATTTCATACAATCTTATACCTCGAATGAGTTCCGTTTGTATGATTGGGGAAGTCGCAAGAATTTGGAGTATTATGGAGTGGCAGAACCTCCGGCATATGATCTGGGCAAAATAACCTCTGAACTTTATTTGTACTACGGCCTGGCAGATGGTTCTGCCAACAAACAGGATATCTCACGACTTCCCGAACTTCTTCCCAACTTGGCTTTATTGCATGAAGTGCCTTTGCCCACCTGGGGACACTTGGACTTTATTTTTGCCACTGAAGTCAAGAAGTATATCAACGATCTGGTTATAGATTATAGTATGGCTTATGATGAGGAAGCTAATAAAAATTAATATGGATTTCATAAGCTCTTAAATCTCTCCTTAAACACTTAAGTTTATCCCATGTTTTCTGCCAGAATGTTGCGAATGTGGGCAAGCTAATTGCGAGTTAAGAACTGTCTGCTGGTCCGGGTTATCTCAGCCATTTCCCTTAACTTTGTCTGGTCACGCCCCTCTGATGTTTCTCCCATTTCTGTTTTTTTTCTCATCTTATTTCCCAGACTCCGGTCCAGTTTGTTGACAAAAAAATTATCGCTGGCTGGATGACGTGGTTAGCAGCCCCTTCTGGCCCGTGAGCGAAATTACAGTAATTAGCACTGTTTTCCCCTTTACCAAGTTTTGCTTGTTTGGCGGTTTAGTTGGGGGACAGTTTGCAAATATGCTTATAATGATGATTTATGCGGTTCAGTGGGTTGTTTAGGTTGTGACTAGGTGAAATTAATTCATGTGATAAGGGGAGAGAAAAGTTGCATTGATGGGAAAGAGTTTTTTAATTGCTCGAGGAGAGGTGTTTATTTAATTCACTAAAAATGTACAGGAAAAAGTGGAAGGAAATTATTGATAATAATCATTACATTATGGTGTTAAAAACAATATATCTGGTCGAGATCTAAATATAATGGTATTAATTTGATCAAATGATATGCATTTTAAATCATTTGAATATTTTATGGAGGTTTCCTATATATTTCTATTTAAATTAATTAATAAATGAATTAATGAAAGAAAAAAGTGAAAAGTGAGTCCCTGAAATTTTTTGAACTTAGGAGTTCTTTAGCTTCTTAAAAACAATTCTTGCTTTGCAGTTCCTTTTTTTCTGAAACTTATAAATATTTACATTCTATTTACAACAGTGCGTATACGTAATCTAATGTCATAAAATTACGTATACGCACTGATGTACTTTGTAGGTATTCTATAAATGTCTGAAATAAAAGTTTATAAATATTTAAAAATGACTCATTGTAGCCAAATAACACCTTAAAAATATATATAAATTGATTAACCAATTCAGAAAATGAAAAAAAATTACGTATACGCACTGATGTACTTAGAATGTATTCTATAAATGCCTAAAATAAAAGAGGTACAAATATTTAAAAATGACTCATGGTAGCTAAATATCACCTCAAAGTCCTATATAAATTGACAAAATCCAATCCAGATAATGAAGCACCCTCGAGCAAAGTACTATTCTAAAAAACAAATCAGTTAATAGCAAAATTTCAAACGTAAATTCCCTCCCTCAGAAACATTCTCCATTACCCCCCCCAAACCCCAAATGACTATCAAAGTGGTTTATCAAATTGATTACTTAACACCTGCCCGTATTATCTACTTCAGATTAAGGTAGCACGAATTAAGTTAAATTTAAACACCATTATCTTAGACCCCTGAAACACAACCCAGATAATTAATTGACTCTAAGTAATGCCCATTGACTGCTCACTCGCCAGTGTTTCGCACTTGGGAAGGCTTCAATCGAGCTCGGCAATTAACCGCAGCTTCAACATTAATCGCGGATCGCTGATGTGGAAAAGGATAATACCAAAGACAAGGAGGAGAAAAGACTTCGAGTGCGTCATCAGGCGACAAAATAAGTGCAGAGTTAAGTGAAATTGCGAATCATCAAAGGCGAGACAGCGAAATAAAATTAATAAAGTGTAAAGGGATTTTGTTGTCGCGACACAAGGAGGAGGAGGAGCAAAAGGACTCCTCACAAATCTTTTTTGCAGACAAAATGCGCGCAGGACATAAATCTACTCGGGGGGTTATTCCGGCCCTGACCTGTCCAGAGTCTGGTGTTTGCGGACCCCCATCGCCTATAATCCTTTATTTTCGTTTTCAATTTGTTGGAAAAGGCAAACAGAAAGTGTTAAAAGTATTTCTCATGCGGAAAATCCACAGCGACTGTCCAAGCGCTGACAAACTTTTCTCACCCCAAAATCCCCATAGACTCTTGGCCCTTTCTCTAAGTGGCTGCGACACTTCTGTATGCATAATTTAAACAAAAGTCGCCAAAAAAAATAAAGCAGGGAGAACGAGAGCGGAAAAACAAGCAGCAGCAGCAACAGCAACACAAAAGTTGCAATTGCAGAAATTGAAAAATTTTCCCGCATAAAAATATGCGCACAGGCATGAAAAGTCCAAGAGGGAAAAACAAAAGGAAAATCAGTAGCAGAGTCCCCGGGACAGAATTTTTGCTGGTAATCTTGCTCTCAGCCAAGATGTCGGCAAAAGTGTCGTGCATGCTGCTAGTTGTTGCTTTTTGGCCAAAATGTTTATTGTCAAAAAGTTCCGCAGAATGCAGATTGCCACGACGAGGAAGGGGTCAGTGGGAGTGGTGTTTTACCTGCCAACTTCAGGTCCTTTTTATCCTGAAATATTTGTATTTCTTGCTAACAAAATCCTAAGTGACTAATTTATAAAAAGGGATTGGTTGCCAGGTGTAAGACTTGTTTACGCCAAGAGTTACTTGGCCTTAAAGTAATTAAATATTAATTATATATAACCATTTACTCAATAGTTAGTTTAACATTTTCTTGTAATTTTGTATAAATTTAATAATTTTAATAATAATATTTATTTATTAGCTCAATACGGTTGAATGGGGTTTGCTTTTAAAACCCCTAAAATTTTGACAGAAAATTAGATTTGGGTTGTAAAATTGCTTTGATAAAATCTTCATTCTAAAAAGGTGATGAAATAGTAACATAAATCATAACAAATCCCTTAAAAATATTTTATGTATAAGTATTAGAATTTAATTTACAATATTCTTAGACCCAACTATAAAAATACAACTATAATGTCTTATAAAGGGGTGCAAAACTTGGATTGTCAATAGCATCTTATAAACCGGGTTCAAGTTTATGCTTTTGATAGCTTTTTGGAAACATTTCATATATTTTTCCTAGTTTTAACAAAATTATACAATATTTAATGTAAAATTTGAACACTCGAAGAACTAAGAAATGTACGAATCAAATGTAAACATGTTCCTTCACCGTAAAATCTGGCAACGCCATTTTATAAGCTTTTTGCAAGGCTTTCCTCAGGACATTCCGATGTTTTCCCGCCAGAAATCAAATATTTTCTTTCCAGGGTATTATGTTTTTTTGTCAAAAGTATGTGAAGGAGTCATTTCCTACCCTATAAATCATATATATTATTGATCAGCATCGAAAGTCGAGTCAATCTAGACATGTTTGGTTAAAAATAAAATTTTACGAAATTTTTATTAAAAATTTTCAAAAAAAAAAGATAGTTAAACATGTGAAAATTAGACAAAATTTAAATTTAAATTGATTATGCAGATTTATTAAGCTAACAAAACCTAGAACAGAAATACTTCCCGAATTAAAATTAAAGCCTTTTTGACGCAGCTATGATATTTTAAAATCTTTATTATTATTATTACTATTATTACTATTATTTACTATTATTTTTACTACAAATTCACATATAAAATAATTAATTTAAAGTCCAGATCATGGGCTGTTAAAATTTCCTTGGTAGTACATAAAAGATAAAAATCAATTGATCCCAAAAGTCAAATATATTTCCATTTAAATCTTAATAAAACAATTAGAATAAACATGTTACTCTATTCTTTTTAAATTTTAAAAAGTGTAACATCATTAAAATTCATGATGCTGCTTTTCAATAATTACACTTTTAGTGTTGACAAATTTATTTAAACTCCCTAAAGGTCCAATTTACAACTTTTTCTCCATATTCATTTATTATTCTCCTGAAAAGAAACCAAACCTTCTGCTTCCTGTAAAAACAATTGATGCAAATTTTTTATATAAATTTTACATTATTTCCATTACATTTGAGAAAACCTTTAAAATTCCTCTAGGCCAACAACCTTTGATTTAAATTTAAATCTGTTGCCGGATGCTTAAAGTCTCTATTTATAAATACAATCAGACATGAGTCTGGTTTTGCCAATTACTCAACTCACCGAAGGGAATTGACTCAAACTTTCTCAACTGGCAATTTGTGAAAATCCATGAAATGTTTGACAAATTGCCATATTTTTGCAGACACACACACACACACATAAAATCGAGCTGCCAAAATGTGGGGCCACTTGATTCATTTGACATTTATTTAAATTTGCCAACAAAAATTTGCAAGCTAATTTCATTGTCACACAGTCCCAAAATCTGGGCCATATTTCGGTTGCTATTGCCATTTTTGGGGGTCAATTGTTATGTCTGACAGGGACAAATGTCAGAATGCCAAATCACTGGGAAAACTGGAAAAACGAACAAAAATGTTGAGCGAACAATTTATTTTATTTGCATTTCACACATTCCACACACAACACGAACGCCTAAAAATATGCCAGGCAAAAAAGCAAAAGTCCAACAAACACACATATGTGTAAAAATCTGGGAAAGAAAGAAAAAGTTACCAATTCTGTATATTTTTTTCACCGAGTCATTTTAATCCACTTTTCAAAATTTATTATGCAGAAACGTTCAAAAATGTCCCGCCAAAGTTAGAGTAAAAAAGGACGACCATGTCTTATTGTTGGGTTACAATTTTTGTTTTCAGTCGCAGACTAAAGCTGTCCACATGTTTTGGTGGTCATAAATCTGCAATTACCAGTCATGCTGGCTTTTCCGGCGCCTGGAAAGTTGGAAAAACTTGATGCACTTGATGCATCGCTTTTTCGAGTTAAATTTTTAGCACTTTAAAGCTCTGTGACATCTAAATTATGCTTAGACTCTGTTTGCCTGCCGTTTGATTGGAGGCTCGTCGTCTCTGTATCTCACTGGGAAAAGTTAGTTTGCTGGCCCGAAAAAAACAAATAAACAAAACAGTTGAAAAGAAACTTGAAGTTGACTAGTTGGCCCCAAACCCCATTTTGCAGTTCATTCAGGACTCTCAGTCTGTTTCTGTTTCTGTGTTTTTTTGCTAGCCGGTAATTTTTGCCATTTCTTGGCCGAGTCCTGGATGCTCGACTAACTTGTATGCGTTCATGCTTGGCAGCCAATTCAAGTCGTGT